GTGTGCTCTTTTATGGTGTGATTTTTTCTCGTTTTATTTTTCACTTTATCAGAGATTATTCTCCTATTTTATTTCTATATATATACCACAATAACTAGTATATCTCACAACAACTGGTATCAGAGCCAAGTTATTCAGATCTGAGAAAGATGATGGCTGCAGATGAAGTGAAGGTTTCAAGGATCGAGAAGTTTGATGAAACAGATTTTGGTTACTGGAGGATATAAATAGAGGACTACCTCTATGGGAAGAAACTTCATCCTTTGTTATCAGGGAAAAGACCTGAAAGGATGGATGAAACTGAATGGAATAGGTTGGATCGACAAGTTCTCGGGGTTAAAAAGACCTGAAAGGATGGATGAGACTGAATGGAATAGGTTGGATCGACATGTTCTCGGGGTTATTTGATTGACCCTATCAAGGTCCGTTGCACACAACGTCGTCAAGGAAAGGACGACTGCAGATCTAATGACAGCCTTATCAGGTTTGTATGAAAAATTATCGGCAAATAACAAGGTGTACTTGATGAAGAAGTTATTCAATTTGAAGATGATAGAATGTGTTTCTGTTGCTCAACATCTAAATGATTTTAAACTATCACAAATCAATTGTTGTCTGTTGAAATTGATTTTGATAATGAGATACATGCGCTGATATTGTTGGCATCGTTGTCAAATAGTTGGGAAGCCATGAGGATGACAGTTTGCAGTTCTGCAGGTAAATCTAAATTGAAATGTGATGATATTCGTGATTTAATTTTGGCTGAGGAGGTGTGCAAGAAAGATTTTGGCAAGATCTCGAGTTTGAGTTCGACACTGAATCTTGATTTCATAGGGAGATCATAAGATAAAAACTAAAATAGAGGGAGATCAAAATCAAAGTCTGGTTAGCAGACAACCTGTTGGAATTGCGGCAAGGCTAGTCACATAAAGAGGAATTGCATGAATGATAGCGCAAATGTTGTATATGAATAAGTACATGATGCATTATTGTTGACAGTTCATAGTTCAGTTGATGATGGAAGTGAAGAGGAGAGTGGGTCTGGGGCACCCATTTCTATTGTTTCACAGACAGATGGTGGAGAACTACAAAGCTATGAAGAAATCTTGCAAAATGAAAGTTCGAGCAAGTGGGAGTTGGCAGAACTTCTACCAGGGAAGAAGACATTACACAACAACCTCCCCTCACCTCTTTTTTGAGTTGCAAACATAAGAGGAAGAAAATTAAGAGAGCACGGTTCTCCTTCAATGAAGACACGATTTTTTGGTATTTTTCTTCAAGCATCCTCGGGATAGAGGAAGGAAAGTGCAAGTAGTTCCTTGCGGTAGAAGAAAGAAGAAAGAAGAAGAAGAAGGTTGTTCTCCCTTGGCTTCTTTTTGGTGGCTTGTGGCAGAAGATAAATTAGATTTATTTCTCTTTTAAGTTTATCTTCTTCGGTGTATCTCGGTGTAGAGTTTCTTCAGTATATCTCAGTGTAGAGAGAGAAGAAGAGAGAGCAACAAGGTGAGAAACTCCTCTTGTAAGTCATCGGCTGATGTAAATTCCTCAAGTAGTAAAATCTTCTACAACTCCATGAATGTAGGCAATTCACCGAACCACGTAAATCTGTGTGTTTTTTTCTGGTGTGATTTTTTCTCGTTCTAATTTTTGCTTCATCAAAGATCGTTCTCCTATTTTATTTATATATATATACCACAACAACTTGTATATCTCACAACAAAGAGCAAGCCCACTGAGACAAATTCAGCAGAGACATACCCCCATTCATAAAATAACATTGGTAAATCAAGGAATTTTGGTATGAGCCTATGTACATACAACAACATTGGTAAATCTATCTCGGTGGGCTGCTCGTTATGGTATATAGCAAAAATTCAAATAAATTTGCTTCTTCTCCAAAAAACTACAAATAATAAATTCTTCATAAAAAAAACTATTTCTCCAAAATTCTTCACTAAAAAAACAAAGGGCCTCACAAAAAAAAATGAAGACCCTAAATTGGAGTCTTCTAATATATCCAAAAAAAAAAAAAAAAAAAAAAAAAAAAAAAAAACAAAGTTATTGGATGGTTGCACAAATCTAATTTATAATTAGGTTATTCTCCAACAACATTTCCTTTCCTAATTCTCATAACCAAAATCCTTCGTTTAGCAAAGGCAGAAGAGGCCACAAATCAAAAAGAATAAATCCACCAAGATAAAGACCGCAAACCGTAAAGAACAAACCTTTAAAGTTAAAGGATAAAATGTATAGATGACGAAGAAAAGTAAAGGAAGAAAATACAAACAACTGAGCTCTGACCACTACAATTAGAGGATGAAGGAAAGCAAAAGAAGAAAAAGACATAGTTAGAGAACTTTGAAAGATAGCTTGAAATAAAATTAGCCAAAACAACAACATAAATTCAATGGAATAAAAAACATGAAACACGGGTCATTGATGGCACTTGCAGAACAGAGGTGCATTTAAGTAGACATACATTTGCCACAAAAATTAAACATGGTTCCTGGCATTTTCGTGATAAACCACAAAAAATAAGTTTCCCTAAACACACTCAAAGTCTGTAGCCTTTCTAAACTTTATTCTCAGAAACCCACTCGCTAAGTGCTTTATAGAAAGTATCAACAACTTCAAAAGCTATATGTGAATTTAGTAGATGTAAAACCCTAAAAATGTGTTTTTTCAATCTCAAATTTTGAGTCCATATAATGTGTAATGACTACCATGTATGATATTATCTGATTTATTAATTTTCATCTACATGTAAGAAAATATACTATGTATTTCTTAATACGTTTTTTCAATTTTTTTCTCTTTATCATTTACTAACGTCACATTAGCACATACAATAATTCTTGTATATATAAAAAAAAAACATGATTGCATGAATTTGAAAGATAAATTGAATTTAAATTCCTCCATAATTGAAAAATTGTTTCTCATTAATCAATATATATTGTGCAATCATCTCTTACACTTTTGAATGATTTTGCTTAAAAGTTTTTAGATTTAACCCCCCATTGACTTGTTTTCATTAAACCCACTATCTTTGGGTTGGAAGTGTAATATTTTTTGCTTTGTTTTTATATGAATTATAGTCACACATCGATTTAAATGTCTCCTAAATTGTGTGTCTGCATTACTATTCCATACAACAATTTTTTTTATTACAATGATAATTTTCTTCTTATTTTAACTATAAGGAAGAATAACCCTTATAAACTCCTCGAAAAGTTATAAAATTTTCTTTCTTTTTTTAGTTTCAATTGGAATTTTAGGGTTAACATATTTTTCATCCTCATCAATTTTTTTAGTAACTACATTTTCCCTCACATTGTTATTATCATTCAAAATACGAGTATAAACTTCTTTAATAATTTGTATTTCAACAAATTTTCTAGATTTAAATTAGCATTTTCCATAAGTGAGGGCATTGTCATTCTAAATGAAAAAAAATTGAATAAAAAAATTAATGATATTTGAATATTACAATTAATGCAACCTATCTTATTGGGTTTTTAATAATAATCACACAAACTTATTGATAATTGATAATATGATATTTATATGTAAAAAAAAAAAATTATTTGTCATAGCATTTGTAAAATGGAATAACCACCTGATAACACAAGCACGTAGCTTAAAAGATCATTGCAAAAGCTCAAGACATCCTTCCTAATGAATTTACACTTATATAATTACAAATATGACATCTACATTTTCATATTTGCAAAAATAGTTTAGATCATATCTTTTTGAATATTATAAATTTTTTTAATTTTAAATAATAACATGAAATAGGACTTAGTGAGAAAGCTTGGAAAGTCATTTATGAAATTTAAGAAGACCTAGTGAATTTCAAACAAAATCTAATCAAAAAGATGGAAATTAAAATCATTACTTTAATAAGGAGTTAGAATCTTGTTGGGTTCTTTCCTTCCCAAAATAGTTTCCAAAGACTCATAAAATTTTTGTGCCAAAGAGCGATAATATTTTGTTGATTCTGTTGAGCATCTAACCATCGACTTTGAGAAGTGTTCAGTTTGTTGACCAAGTCATCGAGATTAGGATGCTTGACTACCTGATAAGCAAACAACGAATATATGTTGCGAGCATGTGATTTATAGAGAGGGAGAGAGAGAGATGTGCGAGCAAGACGTGAGAGGGGTAAGGCCATGAGAGAGATTTTATACTTCAAAGCTACAAACTCGTGAATTATGGCCGCAAAGGAATGCTTATGACAAACAAAAATAGGTTTTATCTTCTTATTTGGATGCATCACAACCATTCCTCACTTGTTCGCTAAATTTACTGTTTTGATTGAACCCCTTGTTTGAGTTGATCAACAAGCAGATGAGTTGAGTACTTCAAAAGTAAAACTTGTGATCAATAAACAATTGTTATAATTTTAACTCCAGCTCGAGCAAGAAGCTTAATAAACCTGTCTCGTCAACTTGTTATAAAGTCATGCTTGATTCGGCTCATCCAACAACTTGGCTCAGTTGCACCCCCTAGATGGGCCGCAACTTCCCTTCCTTATGTCATGGTTCACCTTAATTATAGTTGTCTATAACAACAATAATAAATTGGGGCAATTACATGTAGACCACCCAAAACTTGCTATTTACAAATCAAACGTTCTGGTTCATCAATTTTTCAAATTCTTACTAAAATATCAAAATTTATGATAAAATCTCAACTCATATATTTCAAATTTATCAAATTATCAATAGTTTGTTCGTGCCACATATAATTACATCAATTCGATAGTTCAAATAAATCACATATGTGCTTGACTTATAAGTATGAATGCTTCTGGTGATTTGTATATCCCTAATAAAACGTTGAGGAATAATTAACAAATACAAAACAAAAAAGCCGAATCCCTTTTTATTAAACGCAGCCGTACCATTAGATGAATTCGGTAAATTTACGGATTTACCATTTCATCTTTGATCCGATCTACATCCCGATTTCACCAATCTGGAAGTAGATGAATTTATGGATATACGGTAATCCACTTGCAGCCAAACAGCCCACAAAGTAAGCGTATACCTACCCCACGAACTCCTCTCAATGAAGAACCACGCGGAGAAGAAAGAGTCCACCAGAACAACCACCAAATCCTAGTCCCCTTAGCGTTGACTGCGTCGACCTTCGGCCCGGAAGAGGAGGCGGGAGAGATGGCCGCAGCCGTTGGGAGGGAGGAATCTTCGGATGGGAAGCTCTGGGGCATATGTCGGATTCCGTTCTGGAATAATGGCTCAACAGGCGGCGGGAAGTTGACAACGAACTCAGTATCGTCGTTGAAACACCATCCGCACGATCTCGACGGCCGTCAGGTCGGTCCGGCGCAGCAGAACTCTGGAGAGAGGTCGGTAGCGTCGACGGCGAGGTCGCTGCTACCGAGGCGGCGTCGCCTACGGCTCGATCCCCCCAACAAGCTCTACTTCCCATGTTAGTGAATTCTTCTTCTTTTTCTTCTTCTTCTTCTTCGTCTTCTTCTTATTATTCGGGTGAGGGGTTGGTGGAAGGGATGGCTGCTGTGGGAGCAAAGGCCCTCTTTTATGACAACTTTTACTTTCTGGAGAATCTTGTGAGGTTTTTTTTTAGGTTATGATTTTTGTTTTTTTGAAGTTCTAGGAACACGTTATTATGGCGCCATTTCAGTGAATTGTTTATGTTTTGGTAGGATTGGATTATTGTGGATGATATAATACATTCTTGCACATAAATCTTCTTATTTACATATATAGCACCTAAATTCTTCTTAATACCCCAAAATCAGCCTTCCCTTTACCTTATTTTCTTCTGTCATCTTCAAGAGCGTTTTTTCGATCAGGAAACCTAACGGTCCGCATGATACGCTCATCAATTAAATTTTGCCGCATGGAAAATGTGGGACCCGCTTGACCACGTAATTTTAAAAAAAAATTTGCTGAAGGCTGACCCGGCCCAACCCGCGTCTCTTCGAGTATCCCGCCTTTCAGAATGTCGAAGGTGTTTTGAAAATACTTTCCGATGGTTTTTCTCCTACGTTTTCACCGTTCGCTCTGCTAGGGTTTCACATTTCCCTGATTTGATAGCTTCGAAGCCGTGAGACGATGAAGTTTGATGATCCGGAGTACTCGCAGGCCGAAGAGAGCTCAAGAACAGTATCAGAAGAGGCTGAGAAGACAGAGGTGAAGCAACCAATGAAGTCAAAAAAACAGAGGAAGAAGAAAGAGACGAAGAGGATGGATGAGGGCATTGAAGGGGAAAACTTGTCCTGGTAATTGTTATCGTTTTATTCTCAGGTTATTAGTTTGATTATTATTGGGTTATTCTTCAGTTACTCCGAAGCGTAATACTTATTGACAGCTATTTCATGTTATTCATGTGTTATATTTAAATTATTCGTAGGTTATTTGTAAGTTAGGCATATCTTATTCTCTGGTTAAACCCGAGTTATTTTTAGGTTATTTGTAGGTTATTTTTCAAGTTATTCGTAAGTTATTCTTGGGTTATTTTTAAGTTAACTCGTGGGTTATTTTTAGTTTATTCTCAGGTTATTCCTGGGTTATTTTTAAGGTACTTGCAGGTGATTTTTAATTTATGCGTAGGTTATTCGTAGGTTATTCCTGGGTTATTTTTAACTTATTTGCAGGTTTATGCTCAGGTTATTCATAGGTTATTCTTAATGTATTTTTAGGTTATGCCATATTATTCGTAGGTTATTTATACGTTATTTTTAGTGTATTGTTTTGTTAATTTTGAAGTAATGCGTAAGTTATTCCTGTGTTATTTGTAGGTTATTTTTAAGTTATGAGTTGGTTATTCTTTGGTTATTCCTGGGTTATTTTTAAGGTATTATTTTGTTAATTTTTAGGCTATGAGTAAGTTATTATTAGGTTATTGCTGATATTTTGTTAATTTTTAGGCTATGAGTAAGTTATTACTAGGTTATTGCTGACTGATTTTGAGAATATTTTAAAGTTATTTTTAGGTTATTCCTGGGTTATTTGCAGGTGATTTATAAGTTATGTGCAGGTTATTCGTAGGTTATTCCTGGGTTATTTTCAGGGTATTGCTTTGTTAATTTTGAAATAATACGTGAGTTATTCCCGGGTTATTTTTAGGGTATTGCTTTATTAATTTTGAAGTAATGCGTGGTTTATTCTTAGATTATTTGTAGGTTATTTTTTAGTTATGCATAGGTTATTCGTAGATTATTCTTGAGTTATTTTTAGGTTATTTGCAGGTTTATGCGCATGTTATTCTTAGGTTATTCCTAGGATATTTTTAGGTTATGCATAGGTTATTCGTAGGTTATTTCTGAGTTATTTTTAAGATATTGTTTTGTTGATTTCTATATTCTGCGTAGGTTATTCGTACGTTATTGTTGATGTAGTTTTAGGGTATTCCAGTATTAATAACAGTATTAATAACAGTATTAATAACATACATCTTATTCCTGTATATTGATGAATAAACATTCTTTGGTTATTCCAGTATTAATAACAAGCATCTTATTCCTATAGGTTGATGAATAAACAATCAATGAATTATAGATGCCGACCATCAGCAGTTAGAGAGGTGTTGGATAATGTTCGGTCATTTGTTGATCGGGAGACGTGGTCAATTCTGGAAAGAATGAAGCTTAATCAGTTTTTTGGCCCCCCTATCCTCAAGATCACATCCTAACTATACACATATTGAATTGTTGGGATATGAATAGATTGTCTTTCAGATGGAGGGGGAAAGAGCTGAGTTTTGATGCAAACCAAGTTGCTTTGTTGATTGACATGCCCAACAGAGGTCCTGCAGCAACTTGGGCTGAAAAACCTGTCAATGACGTAGATGCAAGGCGGGCAAAGAGTGAACTATTGGAGAGTTCATCTGCTAGTCTCGATGAACTTATTATTAAATTTTTGTTGTCTAATTTATTATTTCCTTCCAGCAATTTTAGTGTAACCATAGGGCTCTATTCATTTGCTGAGAATGTAGATAATTTTTCTTCATTTAATTGGGCCGCAACAGTATGTGACCACCTAATTGAGCAGGTTAATGCTTGCGCCATGAAAATAAGGATGGGTCAGCCATTGAGATACATGAACGGGTTTGTTTTTCTTCTAACGGTTAGTATATTGCTCAACCAAGATGAAAATCAATCAAAAAAAGCTTTTTTCATCTTATTTGGGTTATATTAATTTTTGATTTATTAATCGTGTTTATGCAGCTATGGTTTTATGAGCGCACACTTGTGATAGCCCCGACTCATCCTGACGCTAGACCTCGTATGTTGAGGTGGCCAATAAATACAAGGTGGAACCCTCCGAAGATCCATTTAATCTTTAAGCAGCTAAGTCCTGTACAGGTGAATGATATTAATGTTTGTTTTAAGTTAAGGGTTATGTTTAGTATTTGACTACCTCATTTAATTCTTATGATAAATGTTTTTGTAGGTTCTTGATTCTTTTGTTGATTTAATAGACGAGGAGCATAGTTTACTTGCCCCTCTAGCTGGCCCGATCTCGTCTTCTGCAAAGTCAATTGGAGAACCCCAAATTCACACTCATTGAACAACACCAGAGTCTCATGGTGCTATTCTTTTTGTACATACTCGCAACATCCCGCCACCTACACATTCGTATTTGGGTTTAGAAGAGATATGACAAACTCTGAGGGAGCAACAACAAATTTTAGTTCAATTGAATGATTTAGTAAATAACCTAAAATTTTTTTTGGAGTATACACTGATGGAGTTGAAGACCGACAACAACGAAATAAAGAAAAATAAATAAATTTTCCATGGAATTTCCTGTAGGCTCTGAATTTACTGGGAAGAAAGAAAACCCAGAAAAGGAGGAAGAACCACCTGCTCATATTGAGCAAGCGTCGGAACAGGAGTGGGGCCCAGATATTCTTGAAACAGAACAACCGATAGGTAGAATGACTGCCTTCGATGAAGCTGCACCTGATAGTAAAACTAATAAAGGTGTCGGGGAACCTGGAGTAGGCATCCCTAAAGACCTAATTGATAGCTTAGTCCGAAGCATCAAGTCCAGAGGACCGAGGAAAAATAGGATGGTTAGTTCTCCATTTATTGTTGTAAATAGAAAGATGGAAGAAGTTCCGACCTCGAATATAGATGATTTAGTACAACATATTTATGAGTCTTCCATGCGGTTTACCATACTATTCCACAGTTCGATGAAACTAGGGAAGAGGAGGCTGAAGAAGTTTGGGAGGAGGTATAGCCGGACGCAATTGTTCCGTATGAAGGTGCCCTCCCTTGTTCAACCATAGACACTACTACCATCACACATGCAACATGTGATAGATACTTGTTTAAGAATGTACAAAGAAATGTATGAACAAAATAGAACACTTTTTCTGTCAATTATTTATTAAATCTAATAAATATTGTTTAATCACTTTGCAGGGATGACATAATAATAGCTCAGGGTCACATGCATATAAGTCGAAATGAAACACTTTAGGATAATAAAGAAGTAGGGGTAGAAATGTAGATTTGTTTACCATTGGATTTGATAACCGTCGGCGTCAGTCCCTTGATTCTTTTACACCCTATTTGTACGTCTCTCCGGCACATTGGGTAAGTAATAAAATTCCCATTAATTTTGTTAATGCAACAGGTTCATACTCTTTTTAAACTTATTTATTTTGTATATGTGAGATATTGTTGCCCACGTCACAGTGGAAGCTGTATCTCAGGCAGAGGCAATTTTAGTTCCAATAATTAATAATAGGAATTCGACTCTACTTGTTGGGAACCAGAAGGACCGCAAGTGGAGATTTTACTATATTGGACTCTATTTGTTGGGAACCAGAAGGACCGCAAGTGGAGATTTTACTATTCATTGCCTAATAAAATGCATTTGGGAGTCACACGCGATGTGGTAAAATTCTAAGCCTTACTAACTAACAACCGACATAAACTATTTATTCTTTTACTGTTTTAAACAACCATTTGTATTACCAGATGAGACATCTTCGTAAGGACACCGAGAATGCTTTCCACAGTGACCAGAGTAATTGAGATGTTATCACGACTAAAGTAATTCCCACACAAATTAATAGCGTCGACTGCGGTATATTTGTTTGTAAATATATGGAAACAATTGTACAGAAATGTAAAATTAACTGGAAAGACCATCAAGACTGATAGGCTGAGATGCTTCGGTTTAGGTCGGTTTAGGGCAGAGCTACTAACTGATAGGCTGAGATGCTTCGGTTTAGGGCAGAGCTACTATATGAAATCTGCAGATATAGATTATTTGGAGGAACACTTTGATTGTCTTTATTGATTGTCTTTATATTATATAGCCTGAATGATTATGAATTTTGGCAGATTTATTTACTCCGTTATTTGGTTTATATGCTTGTCTATTGTGGTTTATATGCTTGTCTATTGTGGCAGGCTTATTTACTCTGATATATTATCTGTTTGATATCTAGCATGTTATTGTTGATGTATTGTTATCTTATTGGGTTTTTTTAGGGGTATTGTCAGGTTATTCTTGGGGCATTGTAACGTTATAGTTGAATAATTGTTAGGTTAGTTATTGTTAGTTTATTGTCGGGGTATTATTAGGGTTATTCTCGGGGTTTTGTTACGTTTTTCTTGGGGTATTCTCAGGTTATTCTCGGGGTATTGTAAGGTTATTGTTGTGGTATTCTTAGGTTATTCCCGGGGTATTGTTAGGTTATTCCCGGGGTATTGTTAGGTTATTATTGGGGTATTCTTAGGTTATTCTTGAGATATTCTTAGGTTATTATTGGGGTATTCTTATGTTACTCTTGGGGCATTCTTAGGTTATTGTTGGGGTATTCTTAGATTACTCTCGGGGTATTGTAAGATTATTGTCGGGGTATTGTTAGATTATCCTTGAGGTTAGTGTCGAAAATGATAACATCTCCAAAACAATCATAATCTAGTCTGCAAGACCTGTCACTCCAGAAAAAGCTTGTAAGTCTTCCCTCCTCATCACTTTGGAAATCCCATGCAAACATGCTATCTTCATTTTGACGCTCCATGAATAATTGTAAGAGAGAGTTGACATCACCCTGTTCAATTCTGCTTCTTTTATCCCTTTGAATGAAGTTGTATGCATCTTGTCTAGTGCACTCCAAATTTTCAATACCACCAACCTTTGTAGCAAGGAAATTGAATGCATCAGCTGCTCTAATCCCAGAACCTGTCATTGATCTTAGTAAATTTGCATTTAACTCGCTAATCCTCCGACTGGAACGTAGAAGGTGCTTGTCACCGGATTCCGCCAAGGGGTGGTTATGACTTTCAACAAATTTCTTTATGGTCCAGTTGCCATCAAGATCAATAACACAACGAACCATTGCTTGACAGCCAGTCTGTGTATTCGCTTTTATGTACTTCACAGTAGTGGCTAGCTGAGATTCTTCTTTGATGACATGATTTTTCACAAATATAATCCTAAAACTTAATTTGCTTGAATTTAGCCCAGTAAGTTGTGTGGTCCTTGCATACGGTGAAACCAACATAATGTGCATAAACACAATAATGTTTGTAAGCCTCTTTCTCATTACAGACAATGGTATTAAGAAAGCTACAAGCAATTGGATCATTGCAATATGTTTTTGACCTAGATATCTACAAATTTGAATTATACAATAGAGATAGTTAGATAAATAACCCTAACCACAGAATAATGATGAAATAACCTAACGACAATAGAAGATTCACAAAAAATTTCACTTTTTTGAGAGATTTGGTGGGTTACTTTCTCGTGTTATTCTTAGGTTATTCTCGGGTTATTGAATATTTCTTCAATCAACCCGAAAATAAATAACCCTAACCACAGAATAATGATGAAATAACCTAACGACAATAGAAGATTCACAAAAAATTTCACTTTTTTGAGAGATTTGGTGGGTTACTTTCTCGTGTTATTCTTAGGTTATTCTCGGGTTATTGAATATTTCTTCAATCAACCCGAAAATAAATAACCCTAACCACAGAATAATGATGAAATAACCTAACGACAATAGAAGATTCACAAAAAATTTCACTTTTTTGAGAGATTTGGTGGGTTACTTTCTCGTGTTATTCTTAGGTTATTCTCGGGTTATTGAATATTTCTTCAATCAACCCGAAAATAAATAACCCCAACCACAGAATAATGATGAAATAACCTAACGACAATCGAAGATTCACAGAAAATTTTACTTTTTTGAGAGATCTGGTGGGTTACTTTTTCGGGTTATTCTTAGGTTATTGCTGGGTTATTTTCATGTTATTGAGTATTTCTTCAATTAACCCGAAAATAAATAACCCTAACCACATAATAATGATGAAAAAACCCAACGACTATCGAAGATTCACAGAAAATTTCACTTTTTTTAAGAGACCTGGTAGGTTACTTTCTCAGGTCATTCTTAGGTTATTGTTGGGTTGTTCTCGGGTTATTGAGTATTTCTTCAATCAACCCGAAAATCAATAACCCTAACCACAGAATAATGATGAAATAAACTAACGACAATCGAAGTTTCACAGAAAATTTTCCTTTTTTTTAGAGATCTGGTGGGTTACTTTTCTCGGGTTATTCTTAGGTTATTGTTCGGTTACTCTCGGGAAAACGGAAAATGGATTAAAATAAACAATAAATCTCACCTCCGTTTCAAAGACGTTGACATTCATTTCGTCATCCATGTGACTCTTCATTAAGAGAGAAATCTATCTCCATCATAAATGCAGCGACCAAACCCTAGCTGAGGAAAAAAAACCCTTTTTGAAAACTTCTTTTCTACTGAATAATGCAGAATAGAAGTTTCTGAGGGAATAATACGCAAAAAAATTGGAGGGAATACGCCAAAAAGGTGGGATAATACGTAATCCTAAAGCACGTCGGGCTGGGCCGGGCTTATCACGAACATTTTTCCTTTTTTGATGACGTGTAAATATGGGTCCCGCAAGTCCAGATGGCGTCTTTTACTTGGATAGCGGACGCAGCGCACCGTACGGGGACCTGAGGGAAAAATTCGGCCATCTTCAAAAGACGTGCGGTAGGCTCTAGTCCACGATAACATTTCTCTGCCGAAGGCCAGCTCTACTTCATGGCTTCATCCGCCCCCACCCCCAAAGTCCTTTGCGTAATGTAATAATCATTCTCCGTCTTATTTGTAGTTTTTTTGGGTTCTAATACACTATGAAGGCACATACCTAGAATATGTATTCAGCACTTCAATTACAGTAGTAAAGCCATAATTTTTTATTTTTTTTAATTGATATATCAATTTTGATCTACTACAAAAAAATAATCAATATTATACATGCTATTGACATTATTTTCTTAAAGTTTTTTCCATTGACAAGAAATAAAATGAAGCCTTATGAGAAAACCAGTTAAATTTTACATCATGATAAACAAAAATGATTACACTGAAGAAATAAAATCAAGAACAGCTAATTCTCTGTAATAACTGAAAAGAAAACATTTATCTGATTTTCTATAATCTCTTAACCATAGTATTTATCACTAACACGGTCTACATGATTGCAAGTAAAAGAGAAGGAAGAATAATGGGCTTGGTTAACCGGAATTAACCATCCTGAAGGGGGAAGAGCACATCCTCTCTTTATCAAGAATGGAATCACTATAACTAATTAATTGTGTTACAACCACAAGAAGAAGAAGCAAGCTAAAAGGTTTCATTATACTCCAAAATTTCCACTTTTGGTCCTTTCAAAGGCAATTATAGATCTCAAAATTTTTACACTTAGTTGATGAGGAAATGATCATGGCGGAGAGAGGTGAACTGCTTCTTTTATCGGAGTGGAGAGAGATGAACTGCTCATTTGATCGGAGGAGAGATTGGCTTGGGGTGGGGGTGCGGTGTTTCTGTATGGGAGAGCTAGACTTTAGAACGGCAATATTAGAGTGGTGTTTCTCATGGTTTTTTTTTAGCAAGAGAGATGATGAGGAAATGGGAGCTATGTTTGGGGTGTTAACAAGAATTTAATTACTATATTTATAAATAAGAAGGTCTTTGTGCGATAATAATAATAATAATATGCATGTTAAAACCTCTAGTTATTATTGTTATTAAACTTCTTGGACCTTAGAAGTTCATGGAGGTTTTTTGCATTAGTTCTAGGGCTAATATGACATAGATTATATCATCTTGATTGTGGTTATTATGGAAGCTACATATGAAATTGATCCTTTCATTTAATTAAGTAATCAACAATTGTTGACATTACATAGATGATAGTGTTTTTTTTAGTTATTGGATTATTTATCCAGCTTCAGAGCTATTTTGGCATGAATGTTCTCCATCAGGAGCAGTGTATGCTAAAAATGGAAGAATAGAGTAATTTTACTCACTGATAAATGAGTATATATTTATTTAACCACCATCTTTTAAAATAAGTATGGGCCATTTATTTTGTTATGAAAGTTTCTCTCGTATTATGTATTTAGCTTGACCTATCAAATATGTTTAGTTTTTTTTTTATTAATATATTCTCTTCGTTGTTTTACTGCGTGAAGTCTTTAGTATCCTAAACATGTTCAATGTATTGTAGATTTGCTTTTATATCATGAATGGCTGAGAAAATAAGTTTTATCCTTTTTATTGAAGATGAACCCGGCAAGCAAGTTAGAAGTGCAATCAGGATAAAGAACACTAGCAAGTCTTATGTAGCATTCAAGGTAAGTTTTCATCATTTATTCTTTAACTTAATTGCTTTTAATTTAAAATGCCTAATAACCAGCAAAATTTAATTGTTTAGTTAAAAGAAAGCTATGCTATGCTCATTTTTATAGATTTTGTAGGTGAGATGCACACAGTTTAATTCAACAATCCCAGCAATAAGCATGCAAATATTGGGAGTAAGTAAACAATCTAACAAAAACAATTAATTACCATTAATGATGATGGATACGAAGAAAACAAAATTCAATTTTCATGATGATGGATACGAAGAAAACAAATAAATAGTTTTGATTTCTTATGAAATTAATTCATAAGAATGAAGAGTCATGAATATCACATTATTCATGGCATGATGCATATGAATGAAATCATATATGCTGCAAATTTGAAAATATGCTAAACACATTGTCATCACTAATTAAATGAATGAACGTAAACGAAGGCAGAAGAATGAACCAAACAACAGGCTTTCTAAACAAAGATTGTGTCTCAAGGAATGCTTTAAGTCTCACAAGGTCATGGACTGAACATACGAAAGTATGTAGGAAAATTCTCATTTACAAAACTTAATTTATTCAAGCTAGAAGTTGTTTTTAAATGCTTCAAAGCACCCTTATTTATAGATAATTGAAGCAAGAAATCAAAATTTAATGATATATCCCCGTTGAAATGAACCTGTATCACCATTAGCATCATTTTTAGATAAGTGTCTATGTAGAATCAAAATAATATCCAATTAATTGTAAGAAGCTACAATCATATATAAGTTGCAATACGCATATAGAAGAGTTACAATCCCAAAAATTGTCACTGAAAGCCCTGAAAATTCAACCACGATTGCAAATTTACAACTGTTTTAGGGGTTATTTGGTCGGTGGCATTAGAGGTGCATTGCATTCCTAATGTAGCGATTCTAAAAATTCAGTTGTTTTTTGGAAGGAATTCATATTTAATGTAAAGTAGTATTGTAACTGAAATTCATGGCTTAGTTCCTTTTCTCTGATTTTAGAATTCGACCAATTCTAAAAACACAACATAAAGTAAAATGTCATTGGCCTTCCCGTCCCCTGCTGCTGCTGACCGACACCCCCATCGCTTTCCGTGGGCCACCATCGACCACCATCAATTACTCCGATTGCCGTCGACCATAGTTGCCAGCCACCGTCGCCCACTTTCACAGGCCACCGTTGCCCACCTCAACAGGCCATCGTTGCCCACCTCCACATGCCACTGCCAACCACTGTTCTTTAGGTGGTGGTGCTGCTGCTGCCTATCACTGTTGGCTGCTATCTTTGCCCACCACTGCTGGCCATAGCTACTCTACCTCAGCCGCCCGCCATTACCGACCACTATCAACCACTCTGGCCGCCGTCAGCGGGCATAGCCGTCAATCAACACATTAATTTTAAAATACATTGAAATATATATGGCTTAATAATTATTATCCAAGAAGATCACAATTTCTTTTACTTATTTTTCTTCTTACTGATGTTATTTGTATCTTTTTTTTTGGATTCAGTTTTTATGGTATCAAAGAACTTCTCACGGCTAGAATTCTTTCTTTTTAGATTGCTCATTTCCTCTACTTCATTTCGCCAGTCTCGAACACTTTGTCTCCTAACAATAGTCCTTTGCTTGTGTCTCACTCTAACATTGAGAATCCCTCTTCTCTTCAGTTTTGATGGCCAATATCAAAATTATCATTACTATACAACTTACATCTAATAATCACTCTATATGGAGATCACAAATCTTGAAACATTTTCATGCAAATGATTTTAAAGGACATCTTGATGGCTCGGATGCTCCTACTCTATGAAGAATTTGACGTGGAGCACCAAAAGGCGCCCTTGTAGCGGTGCACTAATAGTGTTTCTATTACAAGACACTAATATGCCAACTGGCTGAGCCGGCTAGTAAAATACTCGAACGGCCCAGGGGACCGGTCCAAAAACGCGATCACAAAGGAGCAGTGTAGAAGGATTGGGACTATCATGGAGAAGGTAGGACTACCTCCCCTCTTGCGTTCTTGCCCTTTTGGAAAGCCTTTAATGTTCCCACCCTTCCTCTTGTGTGGGAGTTTCTTTCCATATTTCTTCCATTTTTCTCCCAATTGGAGTCTATATATTGTTGGTTTAGACAATTAGGGCAGGCTTGGTTTTTGCTTTTCAAATTTCTATTGTAGAGTCTTTCCATTTTGTAGGGTGGTATTCGAGGAGGTGGTGGTGGTGCTCCGGCTGTATCCAACTCCGAGGTGGTGTTATATATCTCCTTTTATTCCTCCCATAACCCTTCTCTAGTTTCCGTAAACCGCCGACCACTCCAATCCCTCTACAACACCCTACCACCATTTTTTTGCAGCATACGTCTTACTGTCCAACACCTTCCCACCACCACAAACCGCCCGCATCTTTGCTAACATTGCTTCCGACCCCCAGTCTTTGTTGTCGCCGCCCCAGAATAGCAAATTTTTGTTGTTTCTGTCGTTTCTGCCCCAATTTCTTTGCTGTCGCTGTATAGCACAACCAACCCTTTAGATGTTCCTGCAGTGTTCTCGCCTCGCCTTTACTGTTGCCAATCTTCCTAGTCATTCCAATCCACCTAGCCACCTTCACTGCCTTTGGGATGCACTATCGAGGTGTTTTTTTGTGTCGTCTTATGTTTTGGTGATGTTATTTTAAGCTTGTATTGTACTGTAACCCAATTTTCCTATTAATAAGAGCTAGTTTTGTATTTTCACTGTTTTCCTTACTAGTTCTGGTATCATTCGGTATCATAGCTTGCCTAACCCTAGTCCCATCCTAGGATTTCTTACTGTCTGCTTTACCCCCCACCAAAATTTTTCATTCCTACCCTCAACCACCTCTTCCGAATTCCTAC